TAAATTTACTTATCCGGAAAAATGAAACAATAATTATTCTTTTTTTTTTTTCAGTTGATTGGAGTAGTCTTTGCGTGCTGTCTGGCTCGCTCAATTCGCCGCGAGTATGAGACTGTGTAAGCTGATAGACACAAATTTTCATTGCAACAAGCCTAAAATGCACTTGTATAAAACCTGATCTTTTACACAAGCTGTCACTATTTTTTTCCCTTATTTTGTTACCATTTAACCATGCACAATTATAAAAAAATTTTCTTTCTTTTATCGCTTCTATTTTTAACACATTGCAAAGAAACCGTTAATTATTTTTCATCAAAGAGTGCGTGATAGGTAAAAATATTTAAAAAGATCTCCAAAGAATCTCACTGCTATTTTGGTATCTGGGCCTTATCTATCAGACATAAAAATGTCACACACGTATGTTTTGTATATTTTTACAATAGGCTCTCGAACAACTTTGTATATTAATGATAACAGAGTATCTGTGTTACGCTCGGAGATCATACATTTTTTTCATAAATATATATATATATAATTTGTTCAGTGTCACATTGTGATACTGTTATAGTTGAGCCACGATAACCATACATCGATAATAAAGTTATATATAAAATATAAATCACTATATATATAAATATAAAATGCGTTAAAAGCTTCTTTTTGTTTGATGTCTGCTTCACGTGAGTAATTGTTTAGCTTATTAGCAAAAGTGTATTTTTGTCGTTTCATATATTTTTGCTTCATAATATCTCGCATGATGTAGTGTATATTGATATTGTTGTCGAGGCTCTGCTATAATATTCAGCAGTATCATCTTCAAGTTATAAGAACGTTCATAAGATTTCTTAAGACTTCATTTTGTTTTTGGATCGACATCATATTCTTATGAGAACATATTTCCGTATATATATAATTTTTTTAGAAGCTCATTAGAGCACAAATATGCGTGTGTGTATAATACTGAACCCGTATGAATTCTTTTATTCTTATATTTATACATTATTATTGTATTGTAAATATATGTTTACTTTTGGTACAATTTAATATTTTGAAAAAATGTGTATACATACATCTTTGACAAATAAAATTTACAATGTCAAATGAAGAAAGTCACTAATTAGATAATTCAAGATACAAAATGAAGTATTAAGATACGTGAATATATCTTCTTAACATTAACCCAATGGTGTATGATGAAGGGCATTTCCTTTATATATTGCATGTTATATAATCCATTCAAAGAGAAAATTATACTTTAACCAGTTAATAGGATGTACTATACTTGTGAACTGCAAAGAAACTGTGATTGAAAGTAACATGTGTCAATGCGCAATTTGTTTTTTTTTTGGTATATTCTAATTTATGGCTAAATGGTATTCTTCAGATTAATGAAAAATTTCCATGTTTAACAAATTGAAAAAGAAGTGTTAGCCTCAATTTGCAATTGCATGTTAATTACACATATATGTTGCTGCGCGCGTGCTGTGCGTTCAATACAAAGCAAGAAATACTATATATCTAACATTAAGATATTTTGTTGTTTACCACAATGTAAAGTTTACATAGTGTTACAATCATGAAAAATGTCTTACAAGATGTATAAGTGTATAGAAATAGACAAAACGTAATAGTTGTTCATGTTATATAAAAATTATAGTAAAGCGTAATTTATAACAAAATTATTTCAACAAGAGAACTTATATTTTCAGTTAAATAGCAATAGAAATTGCTTCAACTTGATTATAAAGTGTCGTTTCAAACCGATGTTGGTAATAAAAATACTCTCGTTATTAAAAATCTACATTTTAATAATATCACACAAAAATTGAAGTGTTATCTTTTATTTTCCGTTGTTTGTACTATATACATATATACGAAATTATATTGCTTAATATGCCGTAAAACTAGATGTTTTTTTTTCAAATATTTTATGTTCATACCTAGTGATTTAATATTTTTACTTACAGCGAAACCACAGCACACTGATCTGCCATCAATTAGGAGGCATTTTTCATAATATTGTTCATCATACATTGATTAATAAATACTTGTAGATTCATTACGACCGTAATCATTCTTATTGTGCTTAAATATATACTCAAAGAGGAATGATGTCACAAGTATTTAGTGTACAGCGATACCTTAAGTTAGTGACGTTTCGGTATGTATGTATGTAATCCATGAAATTACATACTTTAGAGAAAATGCGAATTGGCGTCTCTCTTTACTTCGCTTTTTCTTATAAACTGAAAAAACAAACCGGATAGCAATATATGCATTGAATATTAATATATCCTGTTAAATTTAACATCAAATTACTGCCAATATCTGCCAAAAATATATATCACATGCAATATAAAAACAAAAAAAAAAAGAAAAGAGAACAACTCGAAAAATATATGCGATCCTATTTACAGAAATTACCAGTGAAACTTTTATCAATTTTGGCACACGTACAACGAAGTGCCTGTTAAATGATGTGCCATGATGTAATGTTTGATCTATTTTTTCATGTGATACGTTTGTACGAAGTTTGGTAATATTTTGCGAATTATTTACAATCTGTATCATTATAAGAAATAGCATTCAATGTAGCCATCATTCCTCTTAATTTTTTGTCAGATTTAAACGAACAAAAAAGAATGAGCTAATTCTGCATAATCTTCCTCAGAGTGCAGAATGAGTAAATTATGTAACGGTTAATTGCAAACTTGTGTTCTGATAATTTAATACTACCATAAAATAGTATATATTATATTTGAGTACATGCAGTCTTGGCATCTATTTTTAATGCCTCCTCATCTTTTTCTCTCTCGACAAAATACAGTCTCTAATACTTATAATATATACGATGTTGTAGAGTAATCGTGTATTAAATTTATAATGATTTTCTGTGTTCTACGAAGAAAAACAAGAAAAGGCAGTGTACTCTTATTCGTAATCGACGGTGCCCCGTGAAATATATATATACGTATGCGTGTATATATAGTGTCATTATGTAATACCAGATGTACACAAAAATTCTGTACATTATGTACCAATGATATAACAAAATTAGCGCATATTAACATTTAGCTCGATTTAAATGGAGTATCAAATGGAAGCTAGCTCTATCCTGTCAATAATTTAGCTTGTAATGTCAGTGAACTCTGATATTGATTCAGATTCTTGCGCTTCATTGTATTATATGCTATTGACAGTCTATTGCTACAAAAACATTTGTGCATGTTTAGTGCTAAGTTTATTCATGTTTGGGACCAAAGTAAAAAGATTGATATTATTTTTACTGATTGTGAGTAACAAGTTATTTCTGAAAAGAAATAAATGATTTAAAACAATTATGTGATGCATTAAAATCTATAAAAAGACTTCTTGAACTTTATTCATAGGATTCTATTTTCCAGTATTAAAAGAGCTTTCAATAATAATGAAAAAAAAAAATTAAATGAGAATGAATTACGATATAAAACTACTCATTTATATTTGCTTCCATTTAAAGGAGAAACATTTTTTTAATGTAATTTAAAAATTGATGCCAATTGGATGCTATTAAATAACATTATGTGCGTTTAAGTACATCGAAAATGTACAGTACTCTTTAGATTTATACGTAACAGATGAAAGGGAAAAAGTTTTAGAAATTTCACTGCGTCTTGTCGATTTCACGAATTCAAGTACCACATTTCAAATTGAATTATGTAAGTTTCTGTAGTCTTGTGTATACAAATGCATGAAAATTTATAACATTCCTTTAGACATATAATATACCGAACGTTATTAGAACGTATATGTCTAAAAAAATGGAGATACATATTTATTGCAAATAATTTATATGTAAGAACAAAGAGTATTGATATATTTACTATTTTACAATAATGTTGAAATAATTTAAATCTATCGGCACACAAATACACACACGTACACAGTGGGAAATGCACAAGATCTCAGAAATAAACATGAACGTCCGTAGGATAAACCATAAATGCAGAAACATAGAAATAATAGCTATGAGATATTAAAGTGTGCCTAACATAGTAACGTTTATGTTATAAGTTAATAGAGATTAGAAAGCATTTTAATTATATTAATCTATCGATCATGCGCAATGTAGCTTCGAAACTAGCACTTGTCCAAAACGTTTGCTCCTTTTGATTATATAAAATCGTCTGTGTTTGTCAGAGATTTTAATTGAAAATTTTAGACTCTGTATGTATTAATTGTACCAGACAACGCAAAAGACTGACGAAGATTATTGTAATCAGTATTAACTAACATTGGTATATTTTACATAAAATATATACATATTATATATATATTATATATACACATACACATACACACATACACACATACATATATACAAACACATATATACAAATGACTTTGTACTAAATTCTATTTTGGCTGTTTGTGTTATTTTTATTATAAAGGTAAATTATTAGTATCGTTAAAGTGATACAAATGTAATTTCGTTATTACAGTATCTAATTTACGGCATTTTAGGAGCCAACATGTCCTTAGCACATATTCATCTAGCTTTTATGTATACTAATAAATTTAATGACACTAAATAGTATTTTCAATCAAAATCCTTTTCCCACCTTTACAAATTTAATTTAAATTTAAACTTCGCAGAATGTAATTGAAAAGATCTTTAAGAAAAGATAAGGAAAGGTAACAATAATAACTACTGAAGAAATCAGCGTATAATAAATTGTATTTCATTCGTTATATCATTAAAAGATTGTTTATCAATATATAAGACTGACCTTCGTACATTTGCTTTTTTCTTTGTTTGACATTCATACTTTTTATATACGCAAATAAAAGTGTTCATGGATCAACTGACTTCCCGGCGTATTGTAATTTTAGATCATCGAAACTGTGCAGATAAATGCCACGAGGCTTTTCCCTTGCTTCCCATGCTTTTTTACAAAAGAGATTTTATAATGCGCTTCTATTTTCAGATCGATTTTAAAAGAGCGTGCTTTCGTTTCGAGTTAATATATAACGACATTTTTAGAAATAACGAGAAATCCATATTTCTTTAATATTCTGATAATTTTCAAGTGCACGCGGGCATATATATGTATTATCTTATGCATAATGATCTATTTACAATCCCGAGGCAGGATCAAGACTTATTTTCCATTTTAATTCATAAAGTTGTAAAACTGCATATTGGCTTACAAAGTATAAAAAGCCAAAGTTCGCCGACTAAATTAAAAATTATTCAATTTTTGTTATAATAGGAACTTACGCGATTCGCATATTTTGCACATGCATTTCACGCAATATTTACATTCCTCGAATTTCGCGACGAAAAGGATGCAAAGAGTGTTTACATTTTACACAATAAACTGTACAATATCAATATTCGTCGAGCAAACTCTCTCCTTTGCTTCATCATTTTTTTTTTTCATTGAACTATAATTACACTCACACTACCCGATATTTTTAAGCAACTATCTATATTTTAGAACAGATATGTACAAAGTGATTTTAATCACCTTGTTGATCTAATTTTCATATGATATAAAAAACTACGAGAAATTATTCAGGAGACATACATATACCTGACACATTGAAGACAGTGAAAATATCTCTAGCATGCTCGGACTTTAGAGTTCAAGTATGCAACAAAATTGATATGTAAGTATCCCTTCAGATACAAGATAAAAATAATACAAGATAAAAAGTCTAAGAACGTTGCTGGATTGCAGCAACATTGGTTAGCGCCAATTATTAAAATTTTCTTTCTCTACTTATGTTAAAAATTAAGCTATAATATATAGAGTGATCCGAAATATAGGACATAATATTTTCAACTTTTTCCTTTAGCAAAATTGTGTACAATAGTTTTTGCAGGAGAGCAGATTGAAGTTAACAAATAAGCGCAAAAATTATTTATCAGACGCAATTTTACTAAAAATTTTACTTGTTTGTTTCAGCATAAAATATCGTGCCCTGTACTCCAAATTCGTGAATTTCGGATCATCTAGTATAAAAAAGGATACGAAATTGCTAATCAGAATTAGTGAATCAGAATTATCAATGCAATCATTAAAACATCAATTATACATACACGTATATGGTATAGACAGAATATAAATCCAGGTCAGAATTATAAGATTTTTTGAATGTACCAGTGTATAAGTATACAGTAAATAATATTTATTTACAATTACAATATATTTTTGCGAGTGGGCCCAGACAACTGAATTATGTCTGATACGCAAGTATAATCTTAATGTCTGCTTCATGCAGAACATTACAATTACTGTATTATGAACACAAAATTGTATGCGATAGTTTTGCAGCATAGCTAAATTATAGTTACATGCTATTAGCCTGTATTTTGAGTCAGGCGTCACATGTATGAACATAATAATTTAAATTTAAGACAATTCAATATAAAAATATGGGAATTCAATTATGGAAAAATGGGCCTCTACGTTTACGTCTTATTGCCTATATATCTATTAATTACTTACAGTTTAGATTACCAATATTGTTCATGTTATCTCCTATTCTAGAAACATTAGCAGCATTGTGCGTGGTATTGTTTTTGTAAACAATACAATCCATTTAAATACTATCTCATTGTAACTTTTAAGTGAAAAACTCCTGTCTCGTTATGCCCTAGCACACTATTTAAACACTTGCACGCACATTCATCCGTCCTTAGGCACATTACATACTCTACATAAAAGCACATCACAATCATGTTTGAGCTGATCTCAAACGGTCTTTGCTCATTTGTGTTTTTTGACCAACATGATCATAAGGATGTGTACAGGCTACATATGAGACAAGTTGTATGAGAGCAGCAATGATCATAAGTTGGCATGAGACTAATAGGAGTTTAATATGAATAAAGAATATGCTCATGTAGCATAACGCTTGGTCCAAAGCCGCGCTATGCGATCGTGTTCTTCTCTATTTTGTAGGTATTGCGTGGCTATACTACCTACCAGTGGATCAGCTGCAAGATAAAATTATTTAAGATCCACATAATTACATCAAAAGAAAATATGTTATCTAAAGAATGTTATTTTAAAAACAAAACATATTGTAAATTTATTCATTATTTGCAATATACATATCGTATATCAATTTTAAATAAATTCTCATAAATAATTCGCTTACCTGGATTGCAGTCTGTTAAAAGGGAACATATTGACAGTAAGACTTTTGAAATTGTCAACGCAGGAGACCAATTATCCTTTAAGATGTCCAAGCAAATAACTCCTTGACTATTTATATTGCAATGGTAGATGCGTGTTCGGAATGTAACCTGTAGAGTAACATATTTTTGAAACATAATTATTAAAACGTATGTCGCACTCATTATTTTACTAAAATAAATTAAATAATTGAAAATTTTCTAAAAATGTTTTAGATGCAAGGAATTACTAATATTGCAACATTTACTAATCTCTATACAGATAATTATTATAAATATTAATGTAAATATTTATTTAAAATACACAGATATTTCAAGTCTTATATAGAAAAATGACAATAATTTAAATAATACTTTTATTTAAATTTTCATTTATTTTCTTCACTTTGACGTTGTTGTTATAATCCTGTACAAATAAATATTATCAAAATATAAAATTAATGGAACTATCAACTTACCTTAGGAGGTTTAAAAGGATATTCTGGCGAGAAATGTATATCAAGAAAGAATACACCACCCTCATAAACCGAACCTGGAGGACCCAATATGGTAGAAACCCATTCATACAAGTTATCACCTTTTGGTCCTGCACTATAAAACGAATTATCAACAATTAATTTTATTATTATTATTTACTATATATTATTCTCATAAGTATAAAACTGTTCTATAATTCATATTATTATGTAACTACAATTCGGCAAAATATTATTTCAAAAAGAATTATAATCAATGACAATGGTATTATACCTGCAATTGGGAGGTGGATCTAGCGTAATTTCTGCCAGTTCTTTCTGTATCCTAAAATATTAATATTAAAAATATTTAGTAATCACAAATTACTGTAATGTTAAAATAAATACATGTTATCATCATGTATCACGAAATATGGCTCTATTGCTTTACCTCTTAGCAGACGTTCCTAAAGCTTTCGACATCTTTGGATTTGGCTTAGCTTCTTTACTGTCTGGTTTATTGTCTGCCAAGGAGGAACCACGACCTCGCCCAGTTCCACTAGAACCTGCTCCTGACGACATGACTCTATAACAAAAAAAACATATATTTTATTAATTACATAGAAATTGTGCAAATTATAAATTTAACGGAAATAAGTGACTAAAGGACAAGCATTATAAAAGCAAAACTAATTTTGAAACATAGTAATGGAGCATGATTGAAAACACATTGAGTTTCTGTATTCGTTTTGCTATAGTCATATAATGCATAAATCAAATCCATTGGAAAGAAAGGAGAAACACTAATAGATCGAATTTTATGTGTGTGTGTATGTTTATGGAAACTAATGTCACATGTGCAACAAATAAAGCGGAATAAACAGATCTTATAAAGTAAATCGAAAGCACAATTTGAACAGCAGTGTTGAAAACGCAATGATGTAAATTAATAATGCACCGTGAATCAAACGCTTCCGGAAACGGTCTTTTTCTGTATTTTCGACAGAGAGACGACGAGTCGTACAACAAAGAATCTCGGTCAAATACAAAACACAGGATTTTCTATTCTTTGCCCTTCCAACCGTCCCCTCCCTTCCTGCGCAAGGAAAAACATAAACATCACGCGTATTTGATCGTCATCAGAGAAGTGTCCTGTCTCACTCGGGACGGATATCTAACGCGTCGTATTTTTAATACTAAACGGCGTCTCGCGTAGCGTTGTCTAACTCGAAGCCGAAACGACGTGCGAACCGAGAAGAGATGTACATGACGGTCCGCCGGGTAGACTGAAAAAGAACGAAATAAGATTCGTTTAATGTCATTAGTGCGTTTGTTGCCTGCGATCGGGCGACTCAAGGGGGGTTCAACGCGCCCAAAATTGATTTCCCTTCACGGACGAACACGCGTTTTTCTCTCTCTCGCTCTCTCGCCTCTGTCTTTCTCTCAGGCTTCTTCCTCTCTCGTAGCTCTCGCGCAGGCAAGATGCAAGCAGCGAGACTCTGGTTCCGACAGGCGACAGTGAACGCCGGGTACATTCTTGCTCGGAGCTCGGAACGATCGACGTACATTCTCCGATGTGTCGTCTACATGACTCCCTCTTCGTTCTCTATAGATACCCGTGTCCCTTTTAGGACACACGCACACACACAGTGCCATTTCTGGCTGTTTCCTAACCCTCTCCTTTATCCCTCCGCGATTATTCGTTCGCGAGCCGAAGCGATTGATAAAAGCGGTGCTGCGTTGATGTACCTCGTGTCCGATGTGTCCACGCCGTGTTTGCTGTCGTCTCGCGGCAAGCCTAGCTTCGCCGGGTCGCCGACGGTAGGGGGTGAGGCAGGGAGACGGGGAAGGACCGGTCCGCCGCTTC